TATGCATCAAAAAATAAATCTTCAAAAATGTTTTTGTCCAGGTGATGTAAAACATACATCACCAAGAGGGAACCTAACAAACTGTGGAGGCATGTCAATGAAGACTCATCAGTTACAGCAAGTGGTCCACTTGGGGGGTTGAGAGTGTTGACACTGGGGGAGGGGACGCGGGTGTGGGCAGGGGGTATGTAAGAGACTCCCTATCTTTTGCTCAATTTTGCTGTGAGTATAAAAGTGCACTAAGAACTTGAATTAACATATGCAGTGAAAACACAAATATTAATTTGGATCTAGCTATCTTTTGGCCATTTGAATAGATGCTATGACTGTCACATGATGAAATGAATATGAAGCCCTGCCCTTTAAGCAGACGCTTATTGCTCATTCGGGTCAATGGAGCATGGTTATACAAGCAAGGGCATTTCAACACACTGTGACTCATGTACATCATCCTCTCTCCCTCCCCTTGCGACCAGACATTGATTCAGCCACACGGCTTGATTTGGCAATGGGACATTTGTGAGTGATTTGAGCAGGAGCCATTAAGCTGGGCTATGCTGGGCTTGCTTCTTCTGCTCTCAGGGGCCTGCATGAGAACATCTCCAGGGATCCACACCCTGTCACCCACGAGCCCAAGTGAATGCACAAGCAGACCTAAGCCTGACTCCTCACTGCAGCCCACTGCTTAACCCTCAAGGGGAGCAGAGTTGCCCAGCTGACCCAGAAGATGGGTTGAACGACAAGCCCTGAGTGTTTAACCCTCCAGGGGAGCAGAGCTGCCCAGCTGACCCAGAAGATGGGTTGAACGACAAGCCCTGAGCAGGACAACAGATGCCCCCATCCTGGGTGAGTGTTTGCTGTGGTGGCTTCTCCCCGTCTTGGGTCAGATTTTGCTGTGGCGGTTTCTCACATACTACTTGCGTACTTACACAAACACCGAAAAAAGCAGTGCTGAGGAAGAATCATAGAAAGCTACCTGGTCAAAACTGGCCTTAAAAGAATGTATGCATGGAGTGGCAGATTTGGAGGGAGAGCTTGAACACAGAAGACAGTGGCCATGCCAGGTAAGAGGAGCATGAAGAAAGGTCTACAGCTGAAATACAGTGAGGTGATGTGGGGGCCAGTAGACAAACTGTTTGACTGAAGCAAGAGATGTCTGCATCTCCCTTATCTTGGCACAAACCACAGGTGTACATTGGGATGAACTTGTGAAAGACTGAGTGTCCACCCAAGGGAGTCTGATGCCTCTCCTAGCAGAGATGGTTTAAAAGGCTGCTTTTGCGATAGGAGATTGAACAGGCAACTTGAAGCAAAAGCTCTTTGCACATGTAGTAGAAACAAGAACTTGGAAACTATTCTTTGGGGGAGTGATTCCAAAACGGAGAGGAAATAAACTCACACATAGTGCAACAGGTTTGGGGGAGGCAGCCTGCCCCGTGGTGCTGTATCTGCTTAAAGGAGGTTCCTCTGGGTTCCAATACTCCTGATGATGATGACATCCCCACAGGACTGCCCAAGGAGAAGAGCGCAGAAGCTTCCAAGGAAAGGAAAAACTCCGGGTCAAAGCCGGAAGGATGCACCTAGTAGACAAACACACCCACTGCCAGGGTCGCACTGTCTGTGCCATCAGGCCTCCTAGGAGAAAAGACCACCATGATGCTGTCCATGAGGGACCATCCCAAATGTCAAGGACAACATTGAGGAGGAAGCCCAGGAAGAGAGGGCTTATCACATGTAGTTGTGGGCCTCAGTGGACAGTGAAGAGAACTAGCCAGCACCTGTACTAAGGTCTGAGGACTGTGAGGGTAGATCTGAGAGACGGTTAGAGAAGACCACTCTGGTGGCAGGGAGCCTCCATGCCTTGACTTTAATTGCTACATGTGTGTAACAGGAAAGTTCTTGTAGCTCGACACGGTAGAAACTACAAACTGAGGTCTGCATCAAACACACAGGAGGACTGGTGTCATTCCAGTGACGACATCTACAAGGTTCAGAAGAGGAGGGTCTGGGCCAAGGCAGAGATCAGTGGAGGAAGCTGAGTTGGACCGCTGTCTGCCAACTGCCAAAACACAAAGTTCTGACTCTTAGAGGTCAGGACCAGAAGGGGGGGGGGGCGGCAAGGGGGAGGGGACTACAGGCTGAGGTTTGCGGAGCCGCAGGGGCTGTCGGGCCAAAATGATGAGTTTCTTCAGTGAGAAACCATCTAGAACAGGTCCTGGAGCTAAAATCTTAATCCCTTTGCAATAAACTGCCCAGTCCCATAGCAAAGAGGACCTGTAAAGTTCGAGGGAGAAAGACAGGGCCAGTTTGAGACAGGATTTCATTAAAGACACAAAGGACTGAAGTTTGCAATTGCAGATGACAATCTCAATCTGTCAGTCAGAGGCAGGTAAGAAAGGGCATTTTAAATGGAATTCATTCCTGGGGAAACCAAGAGGAATAAAAGAACACACCCAGATGGCCAGCACCTAAGGGGTATGGAAAGAACCTGAAGGTAGTCAGGGAGAGGGCGATAAAAAAAACACTCCACACGCGCTGCCTCCTAGTGACATTTCTTCTTTGTGTAGTTGCTATGGGAACTGTTTCGGAAGCTCACTGAGGCTGTGTCTACGTGGGGCAAAGGGATCAGGCATCTGTGCTGAAACGACCGGTCCACTTAACCCAACTGGTTTCACTGATTTATTCCCAGCTCGTACTCCCCTTCAACCCTGGCCAAAATTCAGTAGTTGCTTAACTGAATTCACTGGCCTCTTGTAGTAATCAAATTGGTTGACCTGGGTGTCTCTATTCATGCTCTAAAATACAACTTCTCCTTCTGGGGCCCTGGTAGTTGAGGGATGACGAGCAGTTCCGGAAGGGCGTGGTGCATGACTATGAAGGCAGGAAAGGACAGCTAAATAATTTACACACTCGTGTGAGGAACGATATGCACTCACAAACTGAGGGGCAGGGAAAAGTGGCACATCAGAAGCTAAGCAGAAAAGAGCCCAGAGAAAAGTGGCCAAAGGCAGGCAAGTGGGGGCTGAGGAATGGAGGCGACCAGGCAAGGAGGCCGCGAATAAATTGAAGTGTACGTGTAAGGAAAAGCTTCCCGGATGTGAATCCTGAAGTCAATGGAGCAAAATGAGGGCCTATACCTCAAGTTCAGGAATAAGACAGGAGAGGAGAGGCAAGGGCTCACAGGACCAGGAGAAGGTGAATCCTAAGCCCAGATACTCAGTGGTTAGATGTCTGCCCTGCCATAGAGAGAGGAGTCTCTGATAGAAAGTTCTGGGAGAAATCCTAATTGGGGGCAGTATGCCCAATTTTCATTCTTCCATGCAGCTAAGGAAATGGCAAACGTCCCTCATGAGCCTGCAGGTTCTCAAAGGACCTCTGCTGGGAATAGTCCACAATCAGATACCACTGCTGGGGAGGCCTGTCCTAAATATTGGGGAGACTTACCCTTCACAAGCAGCTCCTCAAGCTGCTACCTGGGCTGTTGCCAAAGAAGGAAATAATGAGAAGAGAGAACCACACCTAAGGCATGAAAGAGCCAGGTTTATAAGAGCAGAATTGGTCTGGGCTTTTTTGGCGTGAAACACTGGAGGTATGCAAGTACGGATCCCTCGGAGCAGGACTGGCCTTAGCTCAGGAGACAGGCTCGGACGATCCCTCCTTCTACTGCCCCACACTTCAGTTGCCAGGACCCTGCCTCTGTCCCCTCGACACCTCATCTGCACATCCTATGATCCAGGTGGCCTTCTGCAGCCACTGCCCCCGTCCCTCACCAAATGCCCCTGTGTCCGGGCCCTGGAGGCAGGGCCCTTTTGCTGGGAATGGGTGATCATTGGGACATTCAGCAAAAACCCTGCCTGTCACGTGACAGGGTGTGTAACAGACAAGTTCCTCCAGGAAGTCTCTCTACCTCAACTGTGGAAAACACCTCCAGAAAGGAACTCAGAGGTGGGCTGTGGAAAGAGACATTTCTAGTGAGTCAGATAGACAGTAGAGTGAGTTCCATCTTGCCACTGGCTGGGCTTGCCACTCTCTAGAGGCAGAGCTCAGCACCCTGCTCTCATAAAACTCAGCTTCATTATAAATGAAATGCCATGACAATAATAAGTAGCGACTGGGATGCCACTAGAGTTTATCAAATGCCTTCATGTAGAGTACCTCCTTGAGTTCCACTTTACCCTAGAAGGTAGATTTGACTTTACAACTCAAACAGCAATATGAAATATCTAACCTGGTTCGTCTGGTGCCAAATTTGATCTCATCTTGTTGCACTTCATGGCCTCTGATAGCTTAACTGTATGTTTGGTCCACTGATGTTTTTACAGGTTATCATTTTTCTTTTTCTACATAAATACCTGATAAACTATGGGCTTTAGAGTCAGTTTTCGTCCCTAAACAATAAAGTTAGTAAGTTTATAAGCTTACTGTTTAAAATCATTCTCAGATCCTTACATGTAGAGGCTTAAAAAGCTGAACTCATAGAAAAAGAGAACAGACCAGTCGCTGGTACAGGAAAGAGGAGGGACACGAGGTGTTCCAATACATCCACTTCTGGCTTGAAGAGGAATAAGTTCGGGGTGATGCATTGGGTTTTAGGAGAAACATATGAAATGATGAATGCAGTTCAGGACACTCTATTATACTTGACAGTTACTAAGACAGTAGCTCTTCAGTTTTCATCACAAATAGTGTAACAATGGGAAGTGATGAAGAGTGAAATGGCCTTACGGGGTAACGATTTCACAACAGATACACATGTCAAACCATCACATCGTGCACCTTAAATTTACACATTTTATATCATCGCTCAAACAAGCTGGAAAATAAATGCAGGCTTACCTCTGAGATACCCCGGCTTCATTTCCAGACCATGGCAATAAAGTGGACCTTGCGATAAAGCTGGTTGTCGAGAATTCTGGTTTCCCAGTGCATGTAAAAGTTATGCTTACACTACACTGTCGTCTATTGAGTGCAAGGTGATGTGTCTAAAAAAGTGTCCATACCTTAAGTGAATGTGGCAGGAATGGGAAGCCAGCACGCGCTGGGGGAGAGCAGGCGCGAGGACGCAGGACAGCCCAGACCTTCCGCTCGTCAAACACGGTATCTGCAAAGAGTCATAAAGCAGAGCACAAACAAAATGAGGTGAGCCTGTCAAGTCTTCCGAGACTGGCTTACATTTTATATGAAATGTGGCATTTTCTGAGTCTTCAATATACAAACAAATGCATGTGCATCTACCAAAATTTCTCTTCTTTATGAAACATTCTCCATACCCATCCTACCTAGGAAAATTACTTTAAAATGCTGTTTATCTCCACAAGTCTGAGGCCAGATGTCAGACTTGGGACCAGCTGTCCAGGGCATATAGCCCAGCTGGCATCGCTGACCACTGAAGATATCAATCATTCGTCCACATGCGATTAGCAAGTTGATTTATGACTTAATTTGTTCTACTGCTAGGTTGTGTTCAGGTGTGTGCTTGTGTGTGTTCATGCATGTGTGTGCACATGTGCATACAACACGTGAGTACGTGTGTGTGCACGGGCAAGAGTGTTCTTTGGGAGAATGGTAAAGGGTTGGGTGGTTTTGGGGATGACATAGTTGGGATAACATCAGCTGCTCTCTTGACTTGTGGGATATGTAAGAATATGCTAATGTCTCCTAGGTTTGATTGCTTCCCTTTTACATTAGAATAACGCGTAATGATGGTGATTTTAAGAATATAATTTGGCAGATGACTGATTCATAATTTGGTCCAGTCACTTATGGAATTTTCAAACAAAAACAATAACAGTGGGAAATGTTTTAATTTGGAAACCAATGAATGCCCAGGAAGTCATTTCTGCATGGATTTTCATAATGATTTTATTGTGACTAGAATAGGCCACATCCTAAGTAGCTAATTGAATGATAGATCACAATGGTGCCAATTGGGCTGAATATGTATAAGGAAGCATCTCCTTCCCAGAATAGTGGGATAAAAGCTTAACAGTATGAGAAGAACATAGCCTCCAGAACCTCCTTCAGGGCTGAACTCCAGAGAGCAGATCTTCAGGGACTAAAGAGGAAGGAACTTTACAATCTCACCTAAGACAGGTTCTATGAGACTCGAGCTAGGCCAAATTGCTCCATCGTTAGCAAGAGATACCTGTTGCTTTCTTCCAGAAAACTCTGGAAAAGAACTGCTTTATGCATAGTAATATATACTCCACACTGAAGCAGTTTTAAACCTAGGGATGTTTAATGCACTGAGCTAATTGTTCTGGGTGGCCTAACAAATTGACAGTTGAAAATGACAAGCTGCTGGGTATTGACACACACACTCTGCAGACGCGGGGCATTGGCAACGGGGACAGGGTCCAGCCTCCAAGGTAAGCTTTGAAAACTGATTCCTAATCCTGACTATCTCCCAGGCAAGGAACAGTGGAGAGATAATAACAAGGCTTTCTGCTTTTTTCCCAGTAGAGGACTGCAGCCCCAAATATGGCTCCTTCCACAAGCTTACAGGTAATCTGGTGTCTGAGACCCAAAGAGAGAAGGAACAGGCCCATTGTCCCTGAGATTCTGTGCAGGACAGTGTGGGCTGGAGCGCAGAGTGGGCCTGGAACCCTGGGGGCATGAGAACAGCAAAGACACTGTATGAGGCCCTTCTTTCTTTTCAACAACCCATGTCAACAGAAGGACTAGGCCAGCCCAGAGCTTCACGTGCCTCCTCCCGCTAAGACCGACCTCTCCCTAGATTTTGCTCTCAAAAGCACGCTATAAGAGACTCGCTCGAGCTGGGTCAGCCTCCCAGCAGAGCCACCCTAAAAGGTATAAAGCCCACTTCCGGTTCCGGGGACATGGAGTCACATATGTCTTGGTGTCTATATCCCAGGGGCTGGGTTTCCACCCTCAGCCCTGTCTCTCATCAGCACTCCCAACCTGATGCCCCCAAATGTTGACTCAGTGACTCACCCGTAAGCACACAAATGATCCTCCCAAGCAAATGATTCAATCCCAGGGAGTTTCCCAACAGAAGAACATTTACAAGGCAGCTCTGTGAGTCAAGTGTGGTCCTTCATCATCCGACCCACCCTTGGCTGGGTCAAGGGCACAGGGCTGTATCCTGAGCGTGGAGCAGCTTCATACCCCCAGCATCCGCTCTTAGCTCCTGGGCACCTCTCAGGGAAACCACTGCTCTCCTTTGGCTTGGCAAGGATCTGAAAGGGGATGTTCCACAGAGGGGCCACCAAAGCTTCAGAGTCCACCCTTGGGTCTAATTCCTGACAGGCTGACTTAACTGCTGCTTCTTTCAGTCCAACTGCACCAGGATGTTTCACATGCTCATTAACAACCTGGAATGACTGGTCCTTCTTTGCTCGTGTATCCTCTTTACGGTCACCTCTTAGCCCAAATAGAAAAGGTCTTTCAGGATCGTTAGGAAAGGAGGCCAGTGCTGCATGCGAGACGCTTCCATTTTTGGAAGCAGCAGGTCTGGCCTATGCAGAATTATACAATGAATCAACTTAACCCCTCACCCCAGAAATTCCAGGGACCCCTCCCTAGGCCAGGTACCAAGCTCCAGCACTCACAACAGGGCCTATTCAGGCAGCCCCCACCCCCAGCACCTCACAGCCTGCCTTTTGCCAACTAAGGTCTTCCATCCCCTGCTTCGCTCCTGGCCCCTGGCACTCCCCAGAGCTGTTTACACATGCCTTTGAGCTGTGCTTTCACCCTGTCCTCCCACAGTGCATTGGCCTTGTGTTGTTTGTGAATCATTTCTGTTTGTATTTCAAGCTTTAGGGCCCAAGAACGTAGGGACAAGCATGTTAGGGTTTCATGAAACACAGCAGGGCTGTGCATCCCACCCATAACAGTTCTCATCCTTCAGAACTCTGAACAGAAACTCCAGCCGAAGTGAGCAATAGAGCCACCCCCCACCCCAGTCTTCCTACCCCAACATGGCAGCTCAACAGGCAATGAGTTCGGCCATTCACACTCACATGGTGGTTATTAGACAGTCAACTGATGAACTCACTTCATGGAAATCAGACTAGTTTTACCAGGCTGACCAGCTGTTCCCATCTACTATGAAAGGACACTGTAACTCACATTTTTCTTTTCCCTTTTGTTTTTGTATCCCCTTCTGTAAAGCCTATTCAGGGTTCCCTGAGGCTTAAATGAAATTAAAACAAATCAGCAGCAGATAATACAGCAGCACAAGAGGTCCTTAAGGAGAGAGAGGAGCTGGCCTTTCAAGCACCTGCCCTCTCTGGTCCCATATCATCACTGCCCTCAAAATCTTCACAAAACTGAGCTCAGCGAGGACTCTGGGTACAGGGAAGCCAAGGGGCTATGGTGGAGATGTAGGGCTGAGAGGGACAGACAAGGGACAGAAAGGAATTAGTCTCACAAGTAATTGCGCTCAGTCAACCAAAGCTCACTCAGGAGCCAGCGAGGGATGAAGAGTCTGCAGGACAGAGCAGTCCTCCCAACAGCTGGTTTCTAAGGCCATCTAGGCGCAAACAAGCCCATGAGGTTGGAAGAGGCCGCTGCTGCCAGGACTGCAGGTCCCCAGACAGCCCTCCACCCCCTGCCATCTCTAAAAGGACAAGGACATGTTGAGACAGGTCCAAGTGAGACCACTTCGCCCGCAAAATAAATGCAGATCTCTAAAACGCTCATCTGATGACTCTGATCGCCTGTTCAGAGCTTGTCAAGTTCATTTCCATATTAAACCCTTGCTTCCTAAAACTGTAATTGTAGCTCACACATAGGCAGCTGATCTAGTTGGAGCAAGAATGAAGCAATCAACAAACTCAACAGACCTCTCATGGTCTCATTCCAAACTGGCTTTTTCTCTTTTCCCTCATGTCTGACATGATATGCATTTGTCAGTGCTGACCACCAGTCTTCTGCCAACATTTTACCAGTTATCTCCTGGGTTGCTTTTTGGTTTTGTTTTTTGTCTTTCATTTAAGACGTGTAGCTCAGCACCCAGCAATGTAATACCTTTGACTCTTAAGAAAGACCTATGGAACTATGACTTCCTGAGTTCTCCCCACCTATTTATCTGGCGTCTTCGCAATGTGCATCCTACTAGTCTTCTCCATGACACTCTGGCCTTTGCTCCCCACCTGTCCATGTGCAGAGATGACCCCTGACCTTTGCTCTGCTTGGGCTGACCTCTCACAACAGCACTGATATCACTTTCAGCTCTTGTACTTTCGGGTTCGGCAGGGCTTCCTAAGTCTGCTTCTGCCCAACGCCCTGAGTACTGGGCCCTGCCCACTGCTGCCACCACCTCCCCACCCAATGCAGCCCTGTGCTTCTGGCCACCATGCAATGTTTGGCGTTCATGTTTCGTGTGCCACCTCAGCCCACTGAAAATGAAGTTTGCATGGATGTGACATTAGTCCCTTTGTTCTGTTTTGGTCTCTGAAGAAAAGATCAGAATCTGAACTGAAACTGACCCATCATGTCTGTCGGCAGGAGTCCTGCCAACAGGAAGGTGGCCAAGTCCCAGACCTGCGCCCACAAGGCGCCACACTGAGTAACAGTGACCCATCAATCAGCTCCCCTCCTGGAAGGCATGAACGCGAATCGCACATGTAAGAGAGCCCGACACACTGGCATGGTAAGTTAAAGCAGAAGACAGACGTGTAGAAAGAGAGGTGTGCTGAATCAACAGACTTCAAGGCACATTCTGTCCTGAAAGCTATTCGGAGTCTTCTTCAGGGCTTTCCTATACCTGCAGCTAAGAGACCTCGGCTATCTCTTTCCCAAGTATGTTTCTAGAGACATCAGCTGAAGCAGCTACTGCTGCTCACATCTGGAAAGAGTTCGCCTAGGTCAGTAGCCACAGCACTGGAAGAGCACTGGTCTTGTCCTACTCCTCCGCCTTTGTTTCCTTCCCTTTCTTCTCCCGCTTCCTTTTCAAAATAAAATTTTATACTAAGGTAACACTGCTTTATAATATTATGTAAGTTGCAGGTGTATAACATTATAATTTGACATCTGTGTACACAGCACTGCAATCACCAAAGTCTAGCTGCCACTTCCTTTTATAGACGTCCATGAATATTCCACTGAAGTCCACGCCGCCTCTTCAGTATGCACGGG